AATTCCTTTTTCTTCTGTCTAGTACAGTAACTGGGTTTCACAAAAGGTAAAATATCCCCACTAAAGAGACAAAAGGAGAGGGAGGGGTGGGGCTATTGAGAAAAGATTCAGTTTCTCAGATCAGCAGTCCCTTTGCTGTGCCAAGGAAGCGCCCTTGAAGGGGTCAAGAACTGTAGATTCATTACAATTCTATTAAAGTTGTATTATAAATATTATTCTGTTAGTTTTTCCAAATGCACTGATATTTAGTTTGTTCATTTTGTATGCATGTGTGTGGTATACTCATGTGTGTTTTGAAAGGACTAATAAAGAACTGATGATTTCCTAGTTATGATGTTCTCTTGGGAAGTAGCTAGCTGGCCATTTAGGGGTAACTCATGACAAGTGGTAGGGCATTTGGCACACACCTGAAGGGACAGGCTTCGATCTCAGCATTCAGCACAGGTAGAAATGTTGAGTATGATGCCTGTGGCATGCAAAGAGTACGTAACCTTTATTCGGATCATGTACACACCCTCATTTACAGGCTATCTCCCCCAACCAGCGAACCAGGGAACTATGGGTTGGCGATGGGGCCCCGTCGTTCAACCAGTATCCAGGTTCCAGCCAATGAGAAGATGGTTTTGGCAATCGCAGAGGTTATGTGGGTACCACTCTCCTGTCTGCCCTTGTCATTCCCATTCTAGAGCTGGTTGAAGCACGGTCTGCTCTCTAGTGGCTTCTATTCTGCCTTGCTTACCGTGGAGTGCACTAATACCTATTGTTGTACATAGTGTACATACTTCTGTTTTAAATTGGTGAAGGATAATATAAGTCAAAAGTTTTTCTGCTGTGTTTATTTTGCTCCTTTTATACCCAGGATAACAGGCCTTTGGGACTCGTGGGTTGTAATAATGCCTTACACCTGTTGCCTCTGTTCACCTAGTACCTGGTTATGCAAATGCTGTGTTACTTCCTGGGAAGGAAGACAAGAGGTCCCCAGTGGAAATAAGCCATAGTGACTTTATTGAGTTATATTGGTTTACTATCCTTCTGGGTTAGTAATATGAATAAATCTCCCCCACTTCCTGTCCAGTTGTTTAGGTGCATCAACTCTGACACCTCACACCACCAATCATCTCTCCCAACTTCTAAACCTGGATATGCGATAAACTATACCACAATGTTGCCATACACCATGCCTAGGTATCTAATACCCTCATCATTAACAATGAAAGGAGGAAATTATATATAATATGTATCAGAACCAATGGGAGAGGTGGGGATGTTGCAGTTTGGAGGGTCATCTGGACTGTGATACTGGCACCTTTATGACAAGACAGTGACTAAATGAGGGACAATGAAAGAGTTGTCCCCTATGTCAGCTCACTTTACTTAGGTGAGAGATGGATGGAGTGTTAAAAAATAAAAAAAAGGCAGTCATGTAAATGGGAAGCCTTTAATTGAGCTATGTGTAGAAAGAGATTTGATAATAAGTAATACATATTTTATGAAAAAGAGGATAAATATATATACAAGTTATGATGTAGCACGTAATGAAAGTAGTTTGTTAGATTATGTATTGGTGGATAAAAGGTTGATGGGTAGGCTTCAGGATGTACATGTTTATAGAGGGGCAACTGATATATCGGATCATTATTTAGTTGTAGCTACAGTTAGAGTAAGAGGTAGATGGGAAAAGAGGAAGGTGGCAACAACAAGTAAGAGGGAGGTGAAAGTGTATAAACTAAGGGAGGAGGAAGTTCGGGCGAGATATAAGCGACTATTGGCAGAAAAGGGGGGCTAGTGCAAAGATGAGTAGTGGGGGGGGGGGGGGGGGTTGAAGGGGTTGGAATAGTTTTAAAAATGCAGTATTAAAGATTGTGGGGCAGAAGTTTGTGGTTATAGGAGGGTGGGGGCAGGAGGAAAGAGGAGTGATGGTGGAATGATGAAGTAAAGGGTGTGATAAAAGAGAAAAAGGTAGCTTATGAGAGGTTTTTACAAAGCAGAAGTGTTATAAGAAGCAGAGATATGGAGAGTAAAAGAAAGGTGAAGAGAGTGGTGAGAGAGTGCAAAAGGAGAGCAGATGATAGAGTGGGAGAGGCACTGTCAAGAAATTTTAATGAAAAATAAGAAAAAAAATTTGGAGTGAGTAAACAAGTTAAGAAAGCCGGGGGAAAAAGTATGGATTTGTCAGTTAAAAACAGAGTAGGGGAGTTAGTAGATGGGGAGAGGGAAGTATTAGGTAGATGGCGAGAATATTTTGAGGAACTTTTAAATGTTGAGGAAGAAAGGAAGGCCGTAATTTCATGCACTGGCCAGGGAGGTATACCATCTTTTAGGAGTGAAGAAGAGCAGAATGAAGTGTGGAGGAGGTACGTGAGGCATTACGTAAAATGAAAGGGGGTAAAGCAGCTGGAACTGATGGGATCATGACAGAAATGTTAAAAGCAGGGGATGATATAGTGTTGCTTAATAATGAATAAAAGAGGGGAAGGTACCTAGGGATTGGCGGAGAGCATGTATAGTCCCTTTATATAAAGGGAAAGGGGACAAAAAGGGAATTGTAAAAATTAAGAGGAAAAAAGTTTACTGAGTATACCAGGAAAAGTGTACGGTAAGGTTATAATTGAAAGAATTAGAGGTAAGACAGAATGTAGGATTGCGGATGAGCAAGGAGGTTTCAGAGTGGGTAGGGGATGTGTAGATCAAGTGTTTACATTGAAGCATATATGTGAACAGTATTTAGATAAAGGTGGGGAAAGTTTTTATTGCATTTTGGATTTAGAAAAGGCATATGATAGAGTGGATAGAGGAGCAATGTGGCAGATGTTGCAAGTATATGGAATAGGTGGTAAGTTACTAAATGCTGTAAAGAGTTTTTATGAGGATAGTGAGGCTCAGGTTAGGGTGTGTAGAAGAGAGGGAGACTACTTCCCAGTAAAGTAGGTTTTAGACAGGGATGTGAAATGTCACCATGGTTTTTTAAAATATATTTATAGATGTGGGTTTTTAAAGAAGTAAATGCTAGGGTGTTCGGGAGGGGGGTGGGATTAAATTATAGGGAATAAAATTCAAAATGGGAATTGACACAGTTCTTTTTGCTGATGATACTGTGCTTATGGGAGATTCTAAAAAAAAATTTTCAAAGGTTTTGTGGATGAATTTGGGAATGTGTAAAGGGAGAAAGTTGAAAGTGAACATAGAAAAGAGTAAGGTGATGAGGGTATCAAATGATTTAGATAAAGAAAAACTGGATATCAAATTGGGAGGAGAGTATGGGAAAAAGTGAATGTTTTCAGTACTTGGGAGTTGACGTGTTGGCGGAAAGGATTTATGAAGGATGAGGTTAATCATAGAATTGATGAGGGAAAAAAGGTGGTGGTGCGTTTTAGGTATATGTGGAGTCAAAAAACGTTATCTATGGAGGCAAAGAAGGGAAATGTATGAAAGTATAGTAGTTACCAACACTCTTATATGGGTTTTGAAGCTTGGGTGGTAAAGCAGCAGCGAGGAGACGGTTGGAGGCAGTGGAGATTTCCTGTCTAAGGGCAATGTGTGGTGTAAAAAATTATGCAGAAAATTCGGAGTGTGGAAATTAGGAAAAGGTGTGGAGTTTTAAAAAAAGTATTAGTCAGAGGGCAGAAGAGGGGTTGTTGAGGTGGTTTGGTCATTTAGAGAGAATGGATTTAAATAGAATGACATGGAAAGCATATAAATCTATAGGGGGAAGGGAAGTGGGGGGGGGTAGGGGTCGTCCTCGAAGGGTTGGAGAGAGGGGGTTAAAGGGGGGTTTTGTGGGCGAGGGGCTTGGACTTCCCGCAAGCATGCGTGAGCGTGTTAGATAGGAGTGAATGGAGACGAAAAGGTATTTTGGGGCCTGACGATCTGTTGGAGTGTGAGCAGGGTAATATTTAGTGAAGGGATTCAGGGAAACCGGTTATTTTCATATAGTCGGACTTGAGTCCTGGAAATGGGAAGCACTTTAAAGGAGGGGTTTGGGATATTGGCAGTTTGGAGGGATATGTTGTGTATCTTTATACGTATATGCTTCTAAACTGTTGTATTCTGAGCACCTCTACAAAAGCAGTGATAATGTGTGGGTGTGGTGAAAGTGTTGAATGATGATAAAAGTATTTTCTTTTTGGGGATTTTCTTTCTTTTTTGGGTCACCCTGCCTCGGTGGGAGACGGCCGACTTGTTGAAAAAAAAAAAAAAAAATGTTGGCTTTGTAGTGCTATTGCTTGTGCAGTGTTTCATCAGATAGTGTGTGTAGGGATGGAGGATAGCAGCAGTCCTACTACTTACAGTTTTGTCAGATGCAATGTATTAGGGAAGGAGGCAATCTTCTTGCTTTTGTTCATGCAGTGATGTCAAGGGCAGTGCTAGAGTGGGAGTGAGTGTGTTATTACTGCTGCCTATGCAATGTTGTGTCAGATGCAATGTGAGGCAGGAAGGAAGGTATAGGCATAGGAGAGGGAATGGGAGGAAAGGAAAGAGCTACTTGTCTGAGTAATGTACATTGTTTTTAATTTCATTATAACAATATATAAAATTTGATATGGATTATTATAGTTAGGAATTACATCTTAGATTGTAACAGGTTCTATGGGAAAACAGGTTGCAAGTTCCAAATACATGAGTAATAACTGATATTCAGGAATGCATTTGGGTCATATGTGGGGACCTACTGAACATCTTTCATAAAATATTTAACCATTATTTTCCATATACGTACATATATGATTAACCATTATTTCCTATTTTTTCAACAAACCAGCCATATCCCACTAAGGTAGGGTGACCTAAAAGAACAACAACTATTAAGAAAATAGAAGAAAACCCAGATGGGTGTGTAAATATACATGATACATGGACATGCATGTGTAGTGAGACCCAAGTGTAGTAGAAGCAGCAAGATATACCTGATTATTTCCTATATATTGTACATACATCATGATATATTTAACTATTTTTTTCAGCATTTCTAACTTTAAATGCTAATAATTGCTATATACCTTCAATCCGTAGTATTTGGTAAGAGTGAATACGGATAACGAGTGAAAGAATTAAATAGAATGGGTTTGATTTTTATTACATCAATATGCCAATTTCAATAATCTATAAAACAAAATTTACTCATCATCATCAAAAGTAAGTAAATTAAAATTTCAAATTCTTCTTCTTTTCTAGTATAGCTGCAACTTGGCTACACTATATCTGAGGTACAGTGAATATATTTTTGTCTATGTCCTGTTGATAATCATCAAAACATATTATCTAAGTCAATGCAAAATGTACTGATGGGAGCTTGAAATAGTCATACATTTAACTCCAAAAATTTTACTTAATCCCAGCTAATGGGTTTTGAACTACTGAAAGCTAAAATAATTTACATAGCACAGGACTGCCAAGCAAAAATGCACTCAACAGTATCTGCCACTTCCTGAAGAGGAACATTTTATTACATAAACATTAGGTACATTATGGTAAAATGAAGAACTGCAATGTACTGTTTTAGTCTTATAAAAAATTAATAGTCTTTCTTTAAACACAATTTCTTGTGTGTCCTCATGAAATAATTATAGGCACAGAAATATTATGAATTACTGACAACCTTTACATATATCAATTACTCTTTCCTTGTTTGTGTTAGAGAAATTATTCCTTTTTCAACTAATTCTAAATAGGCTAAGGTGCAAGTACCTGATGCTTCCATATTGAAAATCTGCACTTGTGGAGGATTGCCAGGCTCCTGGAATATGTGAAAAATAAAATAATTATTGATAAAAATGTTACAATACTACAAAAATTTCTGACATCCTGTTGTGCCTTCACCCACACTAGTAGTAATGGTACATTTCAAGGACCTGCATGTGGGAAAATTAATAAGAGTCAGAAATCCCAATAAAGATATTAGAGAGATTGGGCATATTCCTTGAGCAAGCAATTAATGATCTACAGTACCTCATTACAGATAGAAGAAATACAAGAAAACTTTTAGTGAAGGGAAAGGAATACAAACTTAGTAGGACAGTAGAAGGCTGAACCTGATAATACTTTAGAAATGATGGAGCACTTTGCTGCTGGAGTATATCCCAGTGTGAGCAAAGTACTGTAATGCAACTCAAAACCAGTGATGGAGTACCACCTGGGGTAAGAAAACCGGAATAAGTCGATGAACTGCATTTTTTTATTTAAGCACATGTTCAGATTCATTCTGCAGTCTGCTGAAAAGTACAACACCAACTAAATTACGATAAGAGATTATCTGTATTGGACATGTGGTGCTTGCTGAAATTAAAATATTACTCTAGTTAATTGTTTTATATTATTTTATTAACACATTGGCCATCTCCCATCAAGGTAGGGTGGCCTGAAAAAGAAAAGCTTTCACCATCATTCACTCCATCACTGTCTTGCCAGAGGCGTGCCTACACTACAGTTATAAAACTGCAACATTAACACCCCTCCCAGAGAAATTTCAATTACTCCAATATGGTAAACATGAGGAAATTAAAACTTCATCAGAGTACAAAACAAATTACAGCCACAAAATAGAGCGAAAAACCAACGTCAAAGACCTGGGAGTGATCATGTCGGAGGATCTCACCTTCAAGGACCATGACATTGTATCAATTGCATCTGCTAGAAAAATGACAGGATGGATAATGAGAACCTTCAAAACTAGGGATGCCAAGCCCATGATGACACTATTCAGGTCGCTTGTTCTATCTAGGCTGGAATATTGCTGCACACTAACAGCACCTTTCAAGGCAGGTGAAATTGCTGACCTAGAAAATGTACAGAGAACCTTCACGGTGTGCATAAAGAAGATAAAACACCTCAATCACTGGGAGCACTTGAAGTTCCTGAACCTGTACTCCCTGGAACGCAGGCGGGAGAGATGCATGATTATATACACCTGGAAAATCCTAGAGGGACTAGTACCGAACTTGCACACGAAAATCACTCACAATGAAAGTAAAAGACTCGGCAGACGATGCAACATCCCCCCAATGAAAAGCAGGGGTGTCACTAGCACGTTAAGAGACAATACAATAAGTGTCAGGGGCCCGAGACTGTTCAACTGCCTCCCAGCATACATAAGGGGGATTACCAATAGACCCCTGGCTGTCTTCAAGCAGGCACTGGACAAGCACCTAAAGTTGGTACCTGACCAGCTGGGCTGCGGCTCGTATGTTGGATTGCATGCAGCCAGCAGTAACAGCCTGGTTGATCAGGCTCTGATCCACCATGAGGCCTGGTCACAGACTGGGCCGTGGGGGCATTAACCCCTGGAACTCTCTCCAGGTAAACTCCTTCAGAGTGCAGGTACTGTACTTCCCATCTCAAGGACTCAAGTCTGGTCTGCTGGTTTCCCTGAATCCCTCCATAAACATTACCTTGCTTACACTCCAACAGCATGTCAAGTCCTAAAAACCATTTGTCTTCATTTGCTCCTATCTAACACGCTCACAAATGCTTGCTGGAAGTCCAAGCACCTCTCACACAAAATTTCCTTTACCTCATTCCTCCAACCATTCCTAGGCCGGCCTCTACCCTGCCTTCCCTCCACTACAGATTAATACACTCTCGAAGTCATTCTATTTTGTTTCATCCTCTCTACATGTTCGAACTGCCTCAACAACCCCACCTCAGCCCTCTGGATAATAATTCTGGTAATCCTGCACATCCTCCTAATTTTGAAACTACAAATTGGATGCAAAAAGTGGGTCATAATAAGCGTGTATGCACCTGGAGAAGAGAGGAATGTAGAGGAGAGAGATTTTGGGAGATGTTAAGTGAATGTATAGGAGCCTTTGAACCAAGTGAGAGAGTAATTGTGGTAGGGGACCTGAATGCTAAAGTAGGAGAAACTTTTAGAGAGGGTGTGGTAGGTAAGTTTGGGGTGCCAGGTGTAAATGAAAATGGGAGCCCTTTGATTGAACTTTGTATAGAAAGGGGTTTAGTTATAGGTAATACATATTTTAAGAAAAAAGAGGATGAATAAGTATACAAGATATGATGTAGGGCGAAATGACAGTAGTTTGTTGGATTATGTATTGGTAGATAAAAGACTGTTGAGTAGACTTCAGGATGTACATGTTCATAGAGGGGCCACAGATATATCAGATCACTTTCTAGTTGTAGCTACACTGAGAGTAAAAGGTAGATGGGATACAAGGAGAATAGAAGCATCAGGGAAGAGAGAGGTGAAGGTTTATAAACTAAAAGAGGAGGCAGTTAGGGTAAGATATAAACAGCTATTGGAGGATAGATGGGCTAATGAGAGCATAGGCAATGGGGTCAAAGAGGTATGGGTTTAAAAATGTAGTGTTGGAGTGTTCAGCAGAAGTTTGTGGTTACAGAAAGGTGGGTGCGGGAGGGAAGAGGAGCGATTGGTGGAATGATGATGTAAAGAGAGTAGTAAGGGAGAAAAAGTTAGCATATGAGAAGTTTTTACAAAGTAGAAGTGATGCAAGGAGGGAAGAGTATATGGAGAAAAAGAGAGAGGTTAAGAGAGTGGTGAAGCAATGTAAAAAGAGAGCAAATGAGAGAGTGGGTGAGATGTTATCAACAAATTTTGTTGAAAATAAGAAAAAGTTTTGGAGTGAGATTAACAAGTTAAGAAGCCTAGAGAACAAATGGATTTGTCAGTTAAAAATAGGAGAGGAGAGTTATTAAATGGAGAGTTAAAGGTATTGGGAAGATGGAGGAAATATTTCGAGGAATTGTTAATTGTTGATGAAGATACGGAAGCTGTGATTTCGTGTATAGGGCAAGGAGGAATAACATCTTGTAGGAGTGAGGAAGAGCCAGTTGTGAGTGTGGGGGAAGTTCGTGAGGCAGTAGGTAAAATGAAAGGGGGTAAGGCAGCCGGGATTGATGGGATAAAGATAGAAATGTTAAAAGCAGGTGGGGATATAGTTTTGGAGTGGTTGGTGCAATTATTTAATAAATGTATGGAAGATGGTAAGGTACCTAGGGATTGGCAGAGAGCATGCATAGTTCCTTTGTATAAAGGCAAAGGGGACAAAAGTGTGTGCAAAAATTATAGGGTGATAAGTTTGTTGAGAATACCTGGTAAAGTGTATGGTAGAGTTATTATTGAAAGAATTAAGAGTAAGACGGAGAATAGGATAGCAGATGAACAAGGAGGCTTTAGGAAAGGTAGGGGGTGTGTGGACCAGGTGTTTACAGTGAAACATAAGTGAACAATATTTAGATAAGGCTAAAGAGGTCTTTGTGGCATTTATGGATTTGGAAAAGGCGTATGACAGGGTGGATAGGGGGGCAATGTGGCAGATGTTGCAGGTGTATGGTGTAGGAGGTAGGTTACTGAAAGCAGTGAAGAGTTTTTACGAGGATAGTGAGGCTCAAGTTAGAGTAAGTAGGAAAGAGGGAAATTATTTTCCAGTAAAAGTAGGCCTTAGACAAGGATGTGTGATGTCACTGTGGTTGTTTAATATATTTATAGATGGGGTTGTAAGAGAAGTAAATGCGAGGGTCTTGGCAAGAGACGTGGAGTTAAAAGACAAAGAATCACACATAAAGTGGGAGTTGTCACAGTTGCTCTTTGCTGATGACACTGTGCTCTTGGGAGATTCTGAAGAGAAGTTGCAGAGATTGGTGGATGAATTTCGTAGGGTATGCAAAAGAAGAAAATTAAAAGTGAATACAGGAAAGAGTAAGGTTATGAGGATAACAAAAAGATTAGGCGATGAAAGATTGGATATCAGATTGGAGGGAGAGAGTATGGAGGAGGTGAATGTATTCAGATATTTGGGAGTGGACGTGTCAGCGGATGGGTCTATGAATGATGAAGTGAATCATAGAATTGATGAGGGGAAAAGGGTGAGTGGTGCACTTAGGAGTCTGTGGAGACAAAGAACTTTGTCCTTGGAGGCAAAGAGGGGAATGTATGAGAGTATAGTTTTACCAACGCTCTTATATGGGTGTGAAGCGTGGGTGATGAATGTTGCAGCGAGGAGAAGGCTGGAGGCAGTGGAGATGTCATGTCTGAGGGCAATGTGTGGTGTGAATATAATGCAGAGAATTCGTAGTTTGGAAGTTAGGAGGAGGTGCAGGATTACCAAAACTGTTGTCCAGAGGGCTGAGGAAGGGTTGTTGAGGTGGTTCGGACATGTAGAGAGAATGGAGCGAAACAGAATGACTTCAAGAGTGTATTAGTCTGTAGTGGAAGGATGGTGGGGTAGGGGTCGGCCTAGGAAAGGTTGGAGGGAGGGGGTACAGGAGGTTTTGTGTACGAGGGGCTTGGACTTCCAGCAGGCATGCGTGAGCATGTTTGATAGGAGTGAATGGAGACAAATGGTTTTTAATACTTGACGTGCTGTTGGAGTGTGAGCAAAGTAACATTTATGAAGGGGTTCAGGGAAACCGGCAGGCCGGACTTGAGTCCTGGAGATGGGAAGTACAGTGCCTGCACTCTGAAGGAGGGGTGTTAATGTTGCAGTTTAAAAACTGTAGTGTAAAGCACCCTTCTGGCAAGACAGTGATGGAGTGAATGATGGTGAAAGTTTTTCTTTTTCGGACCACCCTGCCTTGGTGGGAATCGGCCAGTGTGATAATAAAAAAAAATAATAATAATAAAAAAATTCTCTGCATTATATTCACACCACACATTGCCCTCAGACATGACATCTCCACTGCCTCCAGCCTTTGCCTTGTTGCAACATTCACCACCCATGCTTCACACCCATATAAGAGCATTGGTATAACTATACTCTTATACATTCCCTTCTTTGCTTCCATGGACAAAATTCTTTGTCTCCACAGACTCCTCAGTGCACCACTCACCTTTTCCCCTCGTCAATTCTATGATTCACCTCATCTCTCATAGACCCATCTGCCGATACGTCCACTCCTAAAAATCTGAATACATCCACCTCCTCCATACTCTCTCCCTCCAACCTGATATCCAATCTTTCATTACCTAATTTTTGTTAGCCTCATCACCTTACTCTTTCCTATATTCACTTTCAATTTTCTTTTTTTATATACCCTACCAAGCTCATCCACCAACCTCTGCAACTTCTCTTCAGAATCTCAGCAAAGAGCAACTGTGACAACTCCTGCTTTGTGTTAGATTCTTTATCTTTTAACCCCAAACTTCTTGCCAACACCCGAGCATTCAACTATAAAATTATTGAAAAACCATGGTGACATCACACATCCTTGTCTAAGGCCTACTTTTACTGGAAATAATCTCTCTCTCTCCTACATACTCTAACCTGAACCTCACTATCCTCATAAAAACTTTTAACTGCTTTCAATAACCTACCTCCTATTCCATACACTTGCAACATCTGCCACACTGCCCCCCTACCCACCATGTCATACGCCTTTTCCAAATCCATAAATGTCCCAAAAATCTCTTCACCCTTATCCTCTAATAAAATAATGTATAATTCTAGGCTAATAATAATAATAAAGATTAAAGAAGAGAATAAATTAATACAGTGACTGGAACAATTCCAACTAGCTTACAAATTGGAGATGAAAACTGAACAATATTTCTGTCTGTCCTGGAGCATTATCAAGTTTTAAGTTATTTGCTAATGATCTTTGATGGGCCAAAACTTTACCTAGTTTCATCTTCAAATTGTGAATTATTTGTAAAATTATTAAGGAAGAAAAACTTACCATTATGGATGCAAAAAATTTGTTTGTGTTGGGGCCCATTAAACAAGCAATCATGCCTTCCATGGCTGCTTCAGACCACCCTGCTTCTGGACCTTGTGGACTCATTACCTCATAGAGTTTCACACCCACTGCACGTGATGCGATACTTTTGCCATGTGCCGGACACGAGCGAATACTGAGAAGTACAACATAAATAAAACCTTAAGTTCCTGGTTGGTGCACACTGTATTGTAATAAATACACTAAACTTTCAATTTGATGGCCTAATAGAGAGGACCAGGTAGCTAGTAATGGCAGTTGTGGTGGATACAGATCAAATTTTTGCTGTGATCATAATAATTCTATAAACAATGGACTTAGTCGACTGCCTCAGAATCAACTGACCTAGCCGGACTAGAGTCCAGGAGGTGGGAAGTACAGTGGCTGAATTTGAAAGGAGGGGCTTGGGATATTTGCTGTTGAGAGGGACATCTAAACTGTCATATCTGCATGCCTCTGGCAAGACAGTTTTAGTGTGAATGGTGGTGAAAGTGTTTCTTTTTCGGGTTACCCTGCCTCAGTAGGAGACAGCCAGCATGTTATAAAAAAAACTGTTACAATAATTTATAAGCCACCGCTCATTAAACACGGATTAGCAATATCAGAAGTTACATTTGCTGTATACGTATTACAATTAATGCTACGTCTTACTTGAACATCAACAACCCTACGTCTTACTTGTTTTTTGGAATGGTCTCCAAGTTCCCAAAGTCGACATAAAGAACAATCGCTGTTGTAGCATTTAGCTTTTGCACCTGTATGCGATACCAGTGTCCTGTGATGAACTTCCCAAGGTATATTTCACCTGTCAAGATAGAGCAAACAGAAAAAATCATCAAAGATGATAATGGCAATGTAATACTGTAATTATCAAAGATGATAATAGCAATGTAATGTAGTGAAACACCTATTCTCAGTTTTATTAAAGTTATGAACTGATAAATGAAATTCTCTTTGCACTGCATAATATTAAGTCTTTCATGAAAATGCTGGGTCACTTGTTCATAAGACTTATCTAAATAAGTTAGTCATATGAGCAAGAAGGTAAATGTAGGGAACATTATATGACTATTTTTTAAGCAGATTCTTTTTATTAAAATGTGTTTCCTTTTTTCCTGGGCCACCCTCAGACTGGGATTAATACCCATTATTATTATTATTATCATCGTGGGGGAGCGCTAAACTCATAGGGATTATACAGCACCTGTGGGGGATGGATGAATGGAAGACATTCAAGCACAATTCAAGGAACTGGAATGCAGATCCAATTCCCTAGATCAAAAGCCCTCGCCAGTGTCAAGGAACCTCCACTGAGGGAGGGAGGATTAATACCCAACGAACAGTTAAAGAGTGATACATCAGTACTTACCAAACTAATAGGGAAATCTAAGCAACTGTATTATGCTAGCAGGTTTAATGAAATAAAATGGAATGTATGAATACAACTAATGTGGCATTTTATTGTGGCAATGTTGCACTCTCTAGGAACTTTTGTCAAGCTGTTACAACATTACAAGGACGAAGAAGGTATATACAGGGTGTTTCAAAGATAGAGATGGACCCAATTTCAAGGCAGTCTGCTTTAAAACTGGGTCCATCTCTCTGACACACCCTGTATATAGATGGATGATGATGATGATGTAATGGTAGTAGTATGAGTAAAGGTAACTCTAGGCTGCTATGTGATGGCAGGGTTTATTGTTTTGAGTAGAATTATGGCTAATACCTCCAGGAAAAGTGTACGGTAGGGTTATAATTGAAAGAATTAGAGGTAAGACAGAATGTAGGATTGTGGATGAGCAAGGAGGTTTCAGAGTGGGTAGGGGATGTGTAGATCAAGTGTTTACATTGAAGCATATATGTGAACAGTATTTAGATAAAGGTAGGGAAGTTTTTATTGCATTTATGGATTTAGAAAAGGCATATGATAGAGTGGATAGGGGAGCAATGTGGCAAATGTTGCAAGTATATGGAATAGGTGGTAAGTTACTAAATGCTGTAAAGAGTTTTTATGAGGATAGTGAGGCTCAGGTTAGGGTGTGTAGAAGAGAGGGAGACTATTTCCCGGTAAAAGTAGGTCTTAGACAGGGATGTGTAATGTCACCATGGTTGTTTAACATATTTATAGATGGGGTTGTAAAAGAAGTAAATGCTAGGGTGTTCGGGAGAGGGGTGGGATTAAATTATGGGGAATCAAATTCAAAATGGGAATGAACACAGTTACTTTTTGCTGATGATACTGTGCTTATGGGAAATTCTAAAGAAAAATTGCAAAGGTTAGTGGATGAGTTTGGGAATGTGTGTAAAGGTAGAAAGTTGAAAGTGAACATAAAAAAGAGTAAGGTGATGAGGGTATTAAATGATTTAGATAAAGAAAAATTGGATATCAAATTGGGGAGGAGTATGGAAGAAGTGAATGTTTTCAGATACTTGGGAGTTGATGTGTCGGCGGATGGATTTATGAAGGATGAGGTTAATCATAGAATTGATGAGGGAAAAAAGGTGAGTGGTGCATTGAGGTATATGTGGAGTCAAAAAACATTATCTATGGAGGCAAAGAAGGGGATGTATGAAAGTATAGTAGTAACAACACTCTTATATGGGTGTGAAGCTTGGGTGGTAAATGCAGCAGTGAGGAGACGGTTGGAGGCAGTGGAGATGTCCTGTCTAAGGGCAATGTGTGGTGTAAATATTATGCAGAAAATTCGGAGTGTGGAAATTAGGAAAAGGTGTGGAGTTAATAAAAGTATTAGTCAGAGGGCAGAAGAGGGGTTGTTGAGATGGTTTGGTCATTTAGAGAGAATGGATCAAAGTAGAATGACATGGAAAGCATATAAATCTATAGGGGAAGGCGGGGTAGGGGTCGTCCTCGAAAGGGTTGGAGAGAGGGGGTAAAGGAGGTTTTGTGGGCAAGGGGCTTGGACTTCCAGCGTGTGTGAGCGTGTTAGATAGGAGTGAATGGAGACGAATGGTACTTGGGACCTGACGATCTGTTGGAGTGTGAGCAGGGTAATATTTAGTAAAGGGATTCAGGGAAACCGGTTATTTTCATATAGTCGGACTTGAGTCCTGGAAATGGGAAGTACAATGCCTGCACTTTAAAGGAGGGGTTTGGGATATTGGCAGTTTGGAGGGATATGTTGTGTATCTTTATATGTGTATGCTTCTAAACTGTTGTATTCTGAGCACCTCTGCAAAAACAGTGATAATGTGCGAGTGTGGTGAAAGTGTTGAATGATGATGAAAGTATTTTCTTTTTGGGGATTTTCTTTCTTTTTTGGGTCACCCTGCCTCGGTGGGAGACGGCCGACTCGTTGGGGGAAAAAAAATTAATATATTTCTAATATAACATAATATTTGATATCCACTGAATTTGCTAATACAATAAGTTTATGGGGAAGTACTAAACCTGTAAGGGTGATACAGTGCTTCGAGAGAGAGATAACCAAGTCTGATGCAAGGAAGAGACGTGCGGCTTCAATTCCTTGGATCAGGAGTCTACCAAAATCAAGGCAGCTAATTTGAAGGAGAATCAATGTTTACAATCACTCACACATTAACAAGATTTTCTCATCTTTCTTTAATGTAATGAATGCTGCAGTATGAGCATATATATTTTAAGCATCAAATTAAAATAATTAAAAAACATACTTGGGCTCTACATACCAATTTCAAGGTTGCTGATGACTGGGAACTCAGTGATATTGGTGTTGACATATTTTAAAAAACTATCATATTCACTATAGTATGAAGATAATGCCAATAGATAATCTTGAGGAATGGTATGATAGACAACAGGCACAATGTAAACATGGGCTGGGTCTCTGATGGCTGTCACCTCCACACAGAACATGGCTGATGGACTGCTTGGCAGAGGGACAGTAGGTAGGGCAGCTAGAGAACATACTGTACCTAGAGAGCTGTCACTCTCAATGACCTGCAGATTTTAAAGAAGTGTTGTTAAGCATCAAAAGCAATCATATTTGCCCACATCATCATCTAAAAAAAAAAAAAAAAAAAAAAAAAAAAAAAAAAAAAAAAAAAAAAAAAAAAAAAAAAAAAAAAAAAAAAAAAAAAAAAACTTTTGCAAGTAGTATGCAAGTAGCTTTCATTAATAATAACAAAAATACCAAGGGTGACATGTGTTACTGTACCATATATAATTATTACTTGTATGAAATTTAGTTTTTTTTACATATAATAGATGAAGTGGCTTATACTGTTTTAGTATTTTTATATTTTGTATTATCCATTACAATTGAGGGTTATTAATTAGGTTGTAACTTCCACAATCATACAGGAAATGTAAGAAATGTAAAGGATTACTAACTCAGTTTAGTATTTTGTATTGCAGTACTTCAATTAATCCTCAAGGTTGCCAATGAAACTATGTAAAAATCTGTGTTCCTAAATTCTTTATTAAAGTTTAAATGTGTGGAGACAATCACAGAAGCTAGGACTGCTACTAAACTTGATAAAATTTAAGGTACAGCAGACTGACTGATGAGGATGCATCCAACATTCTATAAATAAAAATTAGAGCACACAATTATGTAAAAATTCTACAAGGCACAAAAAAAAAAAAAAAAAAAAAATGGAAAAAACATGTTTAGACAATATTCTCTGTTTCACTTCCAGGAAGGAATAAGGCATCACATACACTGCATAATCACAGTCATGAAATAAAAATGACTGACTAACCACATCTACTGAGGACTGCTCATCTATGGTGGTGCAAGGGATGACCCTCCAGCATATTTTCAACTTGTCAGCTAGTAATGAAGCCACATCTATGCCAACATCTACAAGCTCTAAGTTAATCTGTTGAAAAAAAAGATTATAAATGATTCACAAACAGTAAAAGATTATTTCAACCCTAATGGATTTTTTGGTGTTATAGAACAACTCTAAGTTGAGCCACAGATCTGGAGAAGAAATTCTTTGCATGTTTTATTACCGATTTTTTTTTAAACATGCTGGCCATTTCCCACCAAGGCAAGGTAACCCAAAAAGAAAGAAAGAAAAAAAAAAAAAAAAAAAAAAAAAAAAAAGAAGGAAAAACACTTTCACCATCACTCATACATAACCACTGTCTTTGCAGAATTGTATCAACATTATTTTTTTTAATTTATTGCAGAATAGCATGGGCAATTACCTATGTATTTGTAATTACTTATCTGAGTTCGTAGGGAGTGAGCTTGAGCTCTTGGTCTCACCTCTTAACCTTTGAATAAATAATATGACAACCCTGAATAAAGTTTGCTTTTACTGTATGCTTGCCTACCTCATTTTTCTTATTTGCCTCTCTTACTGTTATGGGATTACAGGACCCAATATGTATCTAAGTACCCAAGTAGAAAAGATAAATTTTTGTAATACCTAGTAATATTTAACTATTGGAGGCACAACAGCCATGATTTTGTCACAAGAACTGATCACTCTTAATGGGGAGAGGTAAAATGTGTTAACCCTGCATTTCAATAAAAACAGGTTCAGTTGTAAAACACACACATACTACTACTTATTCTTTCAACAAACCGGTTATCTTTGACAAAGAAGATATACGAACCACTGTACAGTACACAGTATCCATACAAGTAAACAGAACAAAATCTTAGTTGAAAATAATACACTGAGTGAACAACAGGTTTCATACTATTATGTAAATATTTTGAGCCAGAGATAACCATTTAAAAAGTTATGAAATTATCACTGACTACGCCCCAGTGACAGTTATGGCCCTACAGTACTGCCTTAAACTTCTTGAATTCTAATGATCAAATGTTATTAGATGTTAAAGTAAATTTTTGTAAACAATACATATAATGTACAACAAAACATTTCCAATACATCATGCAGAATTTTTAACAAAAGAAAGCAATCACACACAAAGGAAAAGGATTTCACCCCTCAGTTCTGATCCTACACTTTAATGGTTTGCCACCAAGAAGACTGTCTCTTGCTGGTTATAAAATGGTAGGTAAGACACATAGGCAACATTTAGGTAACTTTATTCCGAAACGTTTCGCCTACACAGTAGGCTTCTTAAGTCGAGTGCAGAAAGTAGACAGGAGCAGTAGAGAGACAATGTAATCAGTCCATCACCCTTGAAGTCGTAGATTCGAGGTTGTCAGTCCCTCAGCCTGGAGAAGTTCTGTTCCAAAGTCTGGAACTAACTGAAGATCAAGCGACAGTGTTGAGACATAATTTTCCAAAGTAATGTGGAAATACAGCAGTTCTCCCTGCATCTGAGGGGAATATATTCCAAGACCTACTGTGGCTAGTAGCGAATCTTATACAGTGAACCCCCGGTTAACGATATTTTTTCACTCCAGAAGTATGTTCAGGTGCCAGTACTGACCGAATTTATTCCCATAAGGAATATTGTGAAGTAGATTAGTCCATTTCAGACCCCCAAACATACACGTACAAACGCACTTACATAATTATACTCACATAATTGGTCGCATTTGGAGGTAATCGTTATGCGGGGGTCCACTGTACTATGTAAGTCGTTTCTCGTTTACATACTTACCTTTTTTTTTTTTTTTTTTTTTTTTTTTTTTTTCAACAAGTCGGCCGTCTCCCACCGAGGCAGGTGATAGTTTAATTTATTTATTTATTTATTTATTTATTTAATAATTTGAACATACAGAGGTACAAAAAAATACAGGTAAAAGCAGCATGCAAAAGCCACTTGTATGCATAGCATTACAGGCTGGCTTAAAATTAACTTAAGATTAACTAAGCAATGATGTAATCAGTGATAAAACATTATTGTAAACAAATAACAATAAAGCACAAATGAGTATTACAAAGACAGGTCATATGGTTGCATGCACTGCTGTACATTCAGTAGAATGGAGTATTAAGATAAGATAAGATTTCGTTCGGATTTTTAACCCTGGAGGGTTAGCCACCCAGGATAACCCAAGAAAGTCAGTGCGTCATCGAGGACTGTCTAACTCATTTCCATTGGGGTCCTTAATCTTGTCCCCCAGGATGCGACCCACACCAGTCGACTAACACCCAGGTACCTATTTGCTGCTAGGTGAACAGGACAACAGGTGTAAGGAAACGTGTCGAAATGTTTCCACCCGCCGGGAATCGAACCCGGGCCCTCCATGTGTGAAGCGGGAGCTTTAGCCACCAGGCCACCGGGCTGGTAGTAGGTAGTGTATTTAAATAATAACAAAGTTAGAGTGGGTCTTAGGTTTAACATTTATGTGATATAATTGTGAGAAACATTTAAGATATACAATTTATAAGATTCAGTTATTCAGTATTTATTTGGTTTTGGGTGAGTAAGTGATCTTTGAGAAGAGACTTGAATTTATAAACAGGTAGTGTTTCTTTTATATTTACAGGTAACGAATTCCAGATTTTAGGGCCTTTTATGTGCATTGAGTTTTTGCAAAGCGTGAGATGGACACGAAGAACATCAAAGAGTGATCTGTGCCTTGTGTTATGGTCATGTGTTCTGTTGAGGTTGGCAAGGAGATGTTTGAGGGGAGGGTTAATATCAGAGTTAAGTGTTCTATGTATGAAATAGGTGCAGTAATAAGTATGGATGTTTTGTATGGTGAGTAGGTTTAGTGTTTTGAATACTGGTGGAGTGTGCTGCCTGTAGTGGGAATTTATCATCATTCTGACTGCAGCCTTTTGTTGGGTAATTAGTGGTCTGAGATGGTTAATTGTTGTTGAGCCCCAATTGATAAATTATGCACAGAAAGTCGAGAATTATTATTTTTTCATTTGTGGGAAGCACTTCATGATTTCTCTTAGGTTTTGAAGAACTGTTTACCATCACTACTTTTGTGCCATTATTCAGCAAAATTAAGGGTTATTTTTGGGTCATGGTAAACAGTGGATAACTGAAAGCATGGAAACTAATCCATGGATATGGGGGGTTCTACTGTATATGCAAGTGGAATACTAAATGATAGGGAAAGAAAAGTGTATGCAAGATTTGTTCTGACGTTGCAATAATTTGTCTTACCTTCAATACTCCACCTAAGCATGGCTCTTCCATAACTGTCACAAGACACACTTTTTCAACTACAGATTTGTGAAGGAACTTCAATGTTTTTTCCTGCCACTGGCCATCCTCAGATATCTGCAGATAAAACAACATTAAGAAGTGAAACCATAGTAATTTGTTATTCCTGTAGTTTGTTATTAGAGAACCTAATGGCAACTGAGACTAGTCCCTAAACTATCACAGAAGCCAGATACATTTTTTGTGGCAGAGGGGTATTATAGTCACTGCAGATGCACTGGGTGACACTGGCTGGGATTCTGGCTGGAATTTCCCAAGAAAGGATAGCCAAGGGGACAAACCGAGTGTTTCCCTATGTATTTCTCATGTACATAAACATACAAATCCAGTGATTATCAGGCATCCTGAAGGATGAGGCAGGGCCCTGTGTGGAGTTTTCAACAACAGTGGATATAATTTTTCTACGGACTCTTTTTCTGTGCACATTCCTTTTTATTCTTAGCCTTAATATTTTGCACACTCATGGTTCTTCCATAATTGTAACAATTATAGATTTGTGAAGAAACTATAATATTTTTCTCTCATTAGTCATCCACAAGTGAAAAAAACAGTAATGAGTAAAAGAGAGAGTGCCATTTTGCCAATTTTTATTTTGAAACGGTATACTATTATTTTTCATTCAATAAGTGGTTTGCCCCATGGGGAAGTGGAAAAGAATCCTCCTCCTGTAACCCAAATGTGTTGTAACAGGTGACTAAAATGCTGGGAGCAAGGGGTTAGTATATGTTAGTGTAAACTTGTTATCTAGTATTTATAGGCATTTATAAGCGGGAAAAAAAAGGGTGTTCCGCTTTACGGTGGTAGCCTGGAACCTAACCTGCCATATAAGTGGGGCCCTACTGTACTAGAGAAAATCAATAAGAAATGAATAACACAATTATTAGATTATTATTACAACAGATGAACACCAGAGAAGAAATATTAAAGCCACCTACTGGAAATAAATTATGCAGAGCACACTTGTAGCACTGGATTGGAAGGTGGGGGTATATTATGTTTGTACGAAGTTCTTGTAGTGTGACATTCTCGGTGTTGCCATAGTCGACAAAGTGGACTTCCACTTCTCCATTTTCATTAAGCTGATGAATGGTAAAATATTTTAAGCTATACAGTGCTAATTTTGTCCACACATAAGCTAGCTTCTGAGTGAAATAGAAAACTTCCGAAGATGAGGTACAAAATGGCTCATAGAGCTGAAAATATTTTATGCAAAGAAAACCTGAAAGCAATGATTAGTTTAATATCTTTATTATGCACCCCATACCAATCCTGTGAAGGCAATTCATAAAGATTACAGAGGTACATAATGGGTCCAGTGACTGGGCCCCAAAGTTTTGATAGCTGAACAAGTTATAAAGGAAATGAACTTTTGCATGTTTATATCTGGTCACAATCATAAACAAATTACCTCTGCAAAGACAGTGATTGTGTGTGAATAATGGTGAAAGTGTTTCTTTCTTTTTTTAGGTCATCCTGCCTCAGTGGGAGACATCCGGTGTGAAAAAACGAAATACACGAATAGGAAAATACAAGCTGTGACAGACCAAAATTGGAATGTGCAGTGGTAATATGGCATCTGCACCTAATAAAACATGTAAACAAACTAAAAAATTTTTGAAGTTATGAAATAACTGTTAAAAAATAATAATTATAAAAAAAAGCAACAAGCACTGGATATGACATCTCTACCTGATAGGAGGAAGAGAGGAGATTCAAATTCAAATTTATATTTCTTTTATACTGTACAAAGATAATGTAGTTTACATGTAATAAAATACTGTCAGGTACAAAAACAAGCCACTTGTATACAATGCATTTCAGGCGAGCTAATGCTTAAAGACTACAGACTGTTAAGTAGGATTTCTTATGCAGTTAACTACAATTATATAAGAACATAAGAATGTAGGAACACTGCAGAAGGCCTACTGGCCCATACGAGGCAGGTCCTTATCAAAACGACATCTACCTAAAGCTACTCAAGAAATAACTCCCATACCCCTTGACACCAATCAAACCCAGCCCCTCCCACTCATATATTTGTCGAGTCTCTTCTTAAAGCTACCCAAGGTCCTAGCCTCTATCACCCCACTGGGAAGACTGTTCCACGCATCTACAACTCTGTTAGAAAACCAGTACTTACCTATGTCCTTTCTAAATCTAAATTTATCCAACTTAAATCCATTATTCCTGGTTCTTACCTGGTTCGACACCCTCAGTACTTTATTAATGTCTCCCTTGTTTATGCCCATCATCCACTTATACACTTCAATGATATCTCCCCTCATTCTACGCCTCTCCAGAGAGTGGAGATTTAAGGCTTTAAGTCTATCTTCATATGGGAGGTTCCTTACACAGTAAATCATTTTAGTCATTCTTTTCTGTATGTTCTCTAATGAGTCTATGTCCATCCTGTAGTAAGGGGACCAAAACTGAGCAGCATAATCTAAATGAGGCCTCACTAGTGAGGAGGTACCTCAATGAACAATGGTACAATTTTAAAAGAATGATAATCAAAATTTAAAAAAAAAGAAAGGGACAGAACTGACATGATTTCCTAACCCTACCAACTGGAACAAAAGACCATAACTACAAAGGAAGAAAAGTTTCCTTTGTAAACAGTGGTAGACCAATGAACTGGCTTGTCAGAGGTTCTAAGTCCTGTAACCAGTGAAAGCTTTAAAAAACTTGGATCGAATAAATACTGAACAAAAGACATCACAGAGACTTACCAATGACAGGAATGAAGACAGACAAGTGCACAGCAAGCTTTTATTGTGACTTTTGCTCTACATTAAGCTTTAGCAAGTCAATTTCTAGGTCTTCTCCTTGACTGTAATCTTAAATTTTATTCCCACACCCAAACATACATCCAAGAAAATTTCCAAATCAGTAGGCATCCTTTCCAAAATACGATACTATGTACCTCAAATGACACTCCTTAACCTATACCACTCTTTAATATATCCCTACCTCACCTATGGTATTTGTGCCTGGGGATCAACCACCCCACCACTTTTCAAAAGCCTGAATTTGCTAAATATACAAGACATACACTCATATTATTGTGCCTTCTACATTATTTTTTATTTATTAACACATCGGCTGTTTCCCACCAAGGTAGGGTGGCCCGAAAAAAAAAAACTTTCATCACCATTCACTCCATCACTGTCTTGCCAGAGGCGTGCTTCCACTACAGTTATAAAGCTGCAACATTAACTCTGCTCCTTCAGAGTGCAGGCACTGTGCTTCCCATCTCCAGAACTCTAAGGCTGGTCTGCTGGTTTCCCTGAATCCCTTCATAAATGTTACCTTGCTTACACTCCAACAGCACATCAAATCCTAAAACCCATTTGTCTCCATTCGCTCCTGTCTAACACACACATGCAAGCTTGCTGGAAGTCCAAGCCCCTCGCACACAAAGCCTCCTTTACCCCCCCTCCAACCTTTCCTAGGCTGACCCCTACTCTGCCTTCCCTCCACTACAGATTTTTATACTCTCTAAGTCATTCTATTTCAATCCATCCTCTCTACATGTCCAAACCATCTCATATACAGAACATTAAACTTCAATATAAACCTTCTACTCAAACTTCTCCTTGACAGCTTCAACAGAACGCAGAGTCACAATACAAGGCATAAGGCACTCTTCGACATCCCTTGTGTCAGTCTCACACTATGTTAAAGTGCAATGCACATAAAGGGCCTGAAGACCTGGAACTCACTACCTGAACTGGTAAAGGATCCCCAGATTACCTGTAAATTTAGGACTGCTTAAAAATCATCTCATCTCTCAATACTAACCAAACCAACCAAAACAACTTCTAATCAATTACATTATGTGACCTCTAGGTGGAATGATGAAGTAAAGGGTGTGATAAAAGAGAAAAAGGTGGCTTATGAGAGCTATTTACAAAGCAGAAGTGTTATAAGAAGAGTAGACTATATGGAGAGTAAAAGAATGGTGAAGAGAGTGGTGAGAGAGTGCAAAAGGAGAGCGGATGATAGAGTGGGAGAAGTACTGTCAAGGAATTTTAATGAAAATAAGAAAAAATTTTGGAGTGAGTTGAACAAGTTAAGAAAGCCAAGGGAACAAATGGATGTATCAGTTAAAAACAGAGAAGGGAAGTTAGTAGATGGGGAGATGGAGGTTTTGGGTAGATGGCGAGAATATTTTGAGGAACTTTTAAATGTCGACAAAGAAAGGGAGGCGGTAATTTCATGCACTGGCCAGGGAGGTATATCATCTTTTATGAGTGAAGAAGAGCAGGATGTGAGGGTGGGGGAGGTGCGTGAGGCATTAAGTAGAATGAAAGGGGGTAAAGCAGCTGGAACTGACGGGATCATGACAGAAATGTTAAAAGCAGGGGAAGACATAGTGTTGGAGTGGTTGGTATTTTTGTTTAATAAGTGTATGAAAGAGGGGAAGGTACCTAGAGATTGGCAGAGAGTGTGTATAGTCCTTTTATATAAAGGGAAGGGGGACAAAAGAGATTGTAAAAATTATAGAGGAATAAGTTTACTGAGTATACCAGGAAAAGTGTATGGTAGGGTTATTACTGAAAGAATTAGAGGCAAGACAGAATGTAGAATTGCGGATGAGCAAGGAGGTTTTAGAGTGGGTAGGGGATGTGTAGATCAAGTGTTTACATTGAAGCATATATGTGAGCAGTATTTAGATAAAGGTAGGGAAGTTTTTACTGCATTTATGGATTTAGAAAAGGCATATGATAGAGTGGATAGGGGAGCAATGTGGCAGATGTTGCAAGTATATAGAATAGGTGGTAAGTTACTAAATGCTGTAAAGAGTTTTTATGAGGACAGTGAGGCTCAGGTTAGGGTGTGTAGAAGAGAGGGAGACTACTTCCCGGTAAAAGTAGGTCTTAGACAGGGATGTGTAATGTCACCATGGTTGTTTAATATATTTATAGATGGGGTTGTAAAAGAAGTAAATGCTAGGGTGTTCGGGAGAGGGGTGGGATTAAATTATGGGGAATTAAATACAAAATGGGAAGTGACACAGTTACTTTTTGCTGATGATACTGTGCTTATGGAAGATTCTAAAGAAAAATTGCAAAGGTTAGTGGACGAATTTGGGAATGTGTGTAAAGGTAGAAAGTTGAAAGTGAACACAGAAAAGAGTAAGGTGATGAGAGAATCAAATGATTTAGATAAAGAAAAATTGGCTATCAAATTGGGGAGGAGTATGGAAGAAGTGAATGTTTTCAGATACTATTTGGAAGTTGACGTGTCAGTGGATGGATTTATGAAGGATGAGGTTAATCATAGAATTGATGAAGGAAAAAAGGTGAGTGGTGCATTGAGGTATATGTGGAGGCAAAAAATGTTATGTATGGAGGCAAAGAAGGGAATGTATGAAAGTATAGTAGTACCAACACTCTTATATGGGTGTGAAGCTTGGGTTGTAAATGCTGCAGCAAGGAGGCAGTTGGAGGCAGTGGAGATGTCCTGTCTAAGAGCAATGTGTGGTGTAAATATTATGCAGAAAATTCGGAGTGTGGAAATTAGGAGAAAGTGTGGAGTTAATAAAAGTATTAGTCAGAGGGCTGAAGAGGGTTTGTTGAGGTGGTTTGGTCATTTAGAGAGAATGGATCAAAGTAGAATGACATGGAAAGCGTATAAATCTGTAGGGGAAGGGGTAGGGGGTCGTCCTCAAAAAGGTTGGAGGGAGGGGGCAAAGGTGGTGTTGTGGGCGAGGGGTTTGGACTTCCAGCAGGCGTGCGTGAGCGTGTTTGATAGGAGTGAATGGAGACAAATGGTATTTGGGACCTGACGATCTGTTGGAATGTGAGCAGGGTAACATTTAGTGAAGGGATTCAGGGAAACTGGTTATTTTATATAACTGGACTCGAGTCCTGGAAATGGGAAGTACAATGCCTGCACTCCAAAGGAGGGGTTTGGGATATTGGCAGTTTGGAGAGATATACTGTGTGTTTTTATACGTATATACTTCTAAGCTGTTGTATTCTGGGCACCTCTTTTTATATGCAACTTCAAGATTATTATTCTTATAAACCTCCACCTTGGCTACCTTGCTGGCACTGGACAAGCACCTAAAGTCAGTTCCTGATCAGCCGGGCTGTGGCTCGTACGTTGGTTTGCGTGCAGCCAGCAGCAACAGCCTGGTTGATCAGGCGCTGATCCACCAGGAGGCCTGGTCACAGACCGGGCCGCGGGGGCATTGACCCCCGAAACTCTCTCCAGGTAAACTCTCCAGTATCAAGATTAAATATGATTTTAATTAACTTTACCACTATTATCCTATCTAGATTTAAGTAGTTATTATGTACTAGAACTAGTCTGCCTGAAATGCCCCAGCATGATATTGGCTTTCCTTGTATGTGTACTTATTAAACCAAAATTGTAACCTTACAAGGAAATAAAATTTTACATAGAATGAAATAATGTCACCATACAAACCTGCTCAGTACCTATATCTTTCTCTCATCTTTGTTCCTGTTGCCACAAATAAACAAAAGGATAAATCATGGGCTATCCTTACAACATTTACTCAATAAGAAGACACACCTCTCATGAGTCTTGACCCCTACAACTACATTTAGGCGAGTGCTATGTTAGTTTTGCCAAATTCTGTTCTATACAATAACAAAGCATTCAGTATAGTATCAAGAACTGGGTATACCTATACACTAATGTACTCTATTTGCATTGACAACTAAGAAATTTATGAATATTTTTTAAGTATAAATACAGATTGTCAAGTTCAGGCAACTTACTTTATTAACAGTTGCACGATACCACTTCTTATCCAAGTGAAACTGAGCTATAACAGGATCACCAGGGGCCCAACACAAGTCATCATCAGTGGGGATAGAACCCTCAAACTGCATTGTTTGGCTCTCACGAATCAATTCTAGTGTTCGTTTATCTGTGGAAGTTCAAGAAAACTATACTTAAAAAAAAAAAAAAAAAAAAAAAAAAAAAAAAAAAAAAAAAACTTAGAACATAAAAAATTTAATATGAAAGTTATAACAACCCATAATTTACTTTTAATAAATACTTCATTAAGGTAAATTTACTGGCAACTGGATGAAGATAAATAATTCCTTGATCATCTACATAGGTAGGAGTTGCCATGAAGGTAGTGGTTTCTGGCAGTGGGCAGGGAATCCAACAGATAACGTCAGTGTTGTTGGTGTTACAGTTACTGTAAGATGCGGTGTCCTTATCAAGCGTTAAGTGCATCATGAAGTTTTCGACATCCTAAAGCATGAAAAATATTAAAGATTTTACTAGTTATTAAGTGGACAAAGCTAAATAAGTTTAATAAAGTCATATCTAACAATTCATATTGCATATCTAAAATAAAAGACACAACTGGATATACTGTGGATAAATTTTGATGGCTGTGCTATAAAGCAAGGTATTTCTAACATCCACTAACACCTTCCCCTTATCTAGCAACAAAATTATTTATGAGAAATTTAGAGAGGGCATGTGCCTAATTTAATGAAAATAAAGTAAAGGAGGTTTTGTATGCAAGGGCATGGACATCCAGCAGGCAAGTGTGAGCATGTTAGATAGGAGTAAGTTAAGGCAAATAGTGTTTGGGACCTAATGAGCTTTTGGAATAAGCAGGGAAACATTTTGTGAAGGAATTCAGGGAAACCAGTTAGATGGACTTGAGTCCTGGAGGTGGGAAGTACAATGCCTGCACTCTAGAGAGCTGGGGATATTTGCTATTTGGAGGGTCATCTGAACTGTTGTATCTATCCGCCTCTATCAAGACAGTGATGGAGTGAATAATGATGAAAGTTTCTTCTTTTTCGGGTCAGCCAGCCTCGATGTGTTAAAAAAAAAATTGTCATGAAGAAGGACTGGTGAAGATCTACCTGACCAACCACCATGACAATCACAATAAAACTGCTAGGAAAGAAATATTCAGTCCTCCTCCTTTAGGTGGAGGTGGGAAGTACAGGGCCTGCACTCTGAAGGAGGGGTGAGGACATCAGTAATTATGAACTGTAGTAATGGCACCCCTCTGGCAAGACAGTGGAGTAAATGATGGTGAAAAGGTTTCTTCTTTTTTGGGTCACCCTATCTCACACTATGCAGTTTGTTGAAAAAATAATGAAATTACCTGTGGGGTCCATGGTTCATTCTCATATTTAACTGAGATACAATCTGCATTAGCCGGACCGACAGAATCATGATTGTCATTCTTGGGATTTATTTCCTTCTTCTGTAAAGGTGAATTTAGAGCCCTGAAAAAAATAGCATGACAGAACATGGAACAAAAATGTTTCAATAAATCAAATAAAAGTAAATATTCAAGCACTTATTTTGGCCCAGCCATGAAAGCACTATTACAGGAAAGGTATAGGTAATGAATATTTTGCTACTTAGGACCTTCTTTTTTTTTTTTAAATATTTTTTTTAACACGTCGGCCATTTCCCACTGAGGCAGGGTGACCCAAAAAGAAAGAAAAAACAAAAAACAAAAAGAAAAAACTTTCATCATCATCCAACAGTTTCACTATCATTCACACAAAATCATGGTCTTTGCAAAGGTGCATCGATATGACAGTTTAGATGTCACCTCAATCAGCCAATATCCCAAACCCTTCCTTTAAAGTGCAGGCACTGTACTTCCCTTGTCCAGGACTCAAGTTTGGTTAACCAGTTTTCTTGAATCCCTTCACAAAATATTACCCTGCTCACACTCCAACATCTCATCAGGTCCCAAAAACCATTCGTCTCCATTCACTCCTGCCTAACATGCTCACACAAATACATCTTGTACAAATATACAGTATTTACAGTCTGAAAGAACAACAGTAGCCACTAGACAAAACAAATTTCCTTGGTATACAAAATATACACACTGAACACAAAATACAAACCCTGCCATACACCTCTCCTTAGAAAACTGCAACAGAATGTACAGGGCCCTCATGAGCCCTATCATACCTTCTCTTAAAGCTTTCTCACCAAGATCAATCCATTTCCCAACCACTCTGAAAATGAAGAAATTCTGTCTAACATGCATGTGATGCATCCATTCTTTTAACTTCCAATGGTGCCCCTGAGTTTCCATTTCTTGCCTTTCAAATAACCTATCTGTCTACCTTATCAATTCCTCCCTCCCATCCTAACATATACACACACATGTATGTGTGTGTGTACTCACCAACATGCAGTTACAGGGGTTGATTCACAGTTCCTGGCCCTGCCTCTTCGATGATTGCTACTAGGGCCACTCCCAGCTCCAAGAGCCTTGTTATACCTCTTGTTAAAGCTATGTATGGATCCTGCCTCTACTAATTCACTCCCCAGATTGTTTCACTAGTGTTAATGTAAGAGCACAACCTATTAACTACAGTACTGTGCAGTTAACAACAGCTCAATCTACACCTGTGCAGTACTGTATGTGGTTAAAAGTTACTGTACCACCAAATTCCTTATATTATTTGAAGATTTATGATTCAACACACATCATCATCATATTCACTAAGAAATACCTAACTTAAATGGGTCATTCAGAAGACAGGCAGAGCCAGTGAAAATTTATGTTCAAATAGCTTTTGGTTATGTGGGCCAAAGAAAAACAAGATGAGGCCTATAAATCTACTCTTACTAACCTTACAGGAAGTGCTAAACCACTTTCAGTGAGAAGATCATTCAGAGATATGTGAAATACAGTACTTGCTTCAAAAGGTACATCAACTATCTCTTGCATCCACCCAAGTTCCACAGGCAATATGTTCAAATCCAGTTCACAATCATGATAAGAACAACCCTAAATGAAAAAAGAAAATCATTGATAACACTTTAAATAAGCACATATTCATCAATCAGCAAGTGTGAGAAACTGATGTTGACATCCTCTACCTCTAGTTGTATTTCCAACTAAAGTCAAACTCTGACAAAATGGAAGAAAATGCAAAATTAAAATAATTTTGAATTGAACTAAATAAGGAGATGTCTTTAAAATTTTAGCTGTCTTCATTATTTAAGCACTAACTTCCCTAATAATCATTATTACATTAATGAGAAAGTGCTAAACATGAATCATACAGCACCTGGGGAATCGGAAGTAATCATGGTTGATCCAAGGAGGGAAAAAGTTTCTCTGAGTCCTCAGATAATGTGCCTGTCACCAACACTAGAGCAGCTCCCTTGAAGTGGAAGGGAAGGATAACTCTTGTGCTAGCTCCATAATTGTTTACTAACATAAATTAATTTCTGCTTGAGAATATTCTATGGTACGGTATTCTCTCATACCTCACTTTTTTTTTCAACCTGTCAGCTGTCTCCCACTGGGGCATGGTGACACAATCACTATCTTTGCAGAGGCACCCAGACATGACAGTTCAGACATCACTCCAAACAGACAATATCCCAAACCCCTTCTTTAAAGTGCAGGCACTGTACTTCCCACCTCCAGAACTCAAGTCCGGATGACCAGTATGTAGTAGACTGGTACACAAAAATCACCCAGGGAGGTACTACTGTCTTGCCAAATGAGTGTAAGATAGAAACCTGTATGTGTTTTACATGATGGTACAATTGCTGGTGTCTTTTTCCTGTCTCATAAACACACAAGATAACAGGTATATCTTGCTACTTTTAGTTACACTTAGGTCACACTACACATGCATGTACACTCTTATGTATACATACTCATCTGAGTTTACTTTCATTTTATCTTAATAGTTTTTGTTCTAATTATTTTTCCTTTCATATCCATGGGGAAGTGGAATAAGAATCTTTCCTGTGTAAGCCATGTGTGTCGTAAGAGATGACTAAAATGCAGGAAGGAAGGGGGCTTGTAACCCCTTCTCCTGTATACATTACTAAATTTAAAAAGAGAACCTTTCATTTTTCTTTTTGGGCCACCCTGCCTCGGTGGGATATGGTAGATTTCTTGAAAGAAGAAAAGCTTAATACCTTATTTATTTTATTCAAATGATCTACTACATGAACATTATCTCCACTACATAAACACCATCTGCCAAACATACATTTCCACCAAAGTAAAATTTCACTACATTAAAACTATCTGAATTAAAAAGGCAGTAAAATACATAAAGTATTTCAAAGTAAGTACATCCACTAAACCTTGTCCCAAAGAACTATCTTGCACAGTATTATCAAAGCTGTAGGTTGATAAACAGCTACTATCAAGAGAGGTACTATTACACTTAGTACACGACTGTAAAACAGAATCTTGTTTAAATTTTGAATTCTGGCAGAAATGCTGGTCATTTCTGTCTCATGCACATACAAAGTGACAATTAAATTTCCAAAGGTACATCTTATATTTCTTAGAGTGCATGCATGTAGGCATATATCAATATGCATATGTGGAGGCAGGAAGAACAGTGTCTGTACTCTGAAGAGATGGGTGGCAATATTGCAGTTTGGGGGTCATTTGAATTGTGATGTCTGCACACTTCTGGACCTGGATACATCAAAGACAATTGAACCTAACAAGATGTTTACCTGGAGAGGGTTTTGGGGGTCAATGCCCCCGCGGCCCGGTCTGAGATCAGGCCTCATGGTGGATCAGGGTCTGATCAACCAGGCTGTTACTGCTGGCCGCATGCATGCTGACGTACGAAACACAGCCCAGTTGGTCAGGTACTGACTTTAGGTGCCTGTCCAGTGTCTTCTTGAAGACAGCCAGGGGTCTATTGGTAATCCCCCTTATGTATGCTGGGAGGCAATTAAACAGTCTTGGGCCCCAGACACTTATTGTGTTCTCTCTCAATGTACTCGTGGCACCCCTGCTTTTCATCAGGGAAATGTTGCATCTCCTGCTGAGTCTTTTGCTTTCATAGGGAGTGATTTTCGTGTGCAGGTTTGGTGCCAATCCCTTCAGGACCTTCCAAGTGTATATTATCATGTATCTCTCTCGCCTGCGTTCGAGGGAATACAGATCAAGAACCTTCAACTGTTCCTAGTAGTTTAGGTGCCTTATCATACTTATGTGTGCCGTGAGAGTTCTTTGTACACTCTCCAGGTCTGCAATGTCTCCAGCCTTGAAGGGGGCCGTTAGTGTACAGTAGTATTCCGGCCTAGAGAGCACAAGCGATTTAAGAGAATCATCATGGAATTGGAGTCACTAGTTTTGAAGGTTCTCATTATCCATCCTATCATTTTCCTAGCGGATGAGGTAGATACATTATTGTGGTCTTTGAAGGCGAGATCCTCTGACATTATCACGTCATTACTGGGAGCACTTGAGGTTCCTAAACCTGTATTCCCTGGAACGCAGGCGGGAGAGATACATGATTATATACACCTGGAAAATCCTAGAGGGACTAGTACCGAACTTGCACACGAAAATCACTCACTACGAAAGCAAAAGACTTGGCAGACGATGCAACATCCCCCCAATGAAAAGCAGGGGTGTTACTAGCACGTTAAGAGACCATACAATAAGTGTCAGGGGCCTGAGACTGTTCAACTGCCTCCCAGCATACAAAAGGGGGACTACCAACAGACCCCTGGCAGTCTTCAAGCTGGCACTGGACAAGCACCTAAAGTCGGTTCCTGATCAGCTGGGCTGTGGCTCGTACGTTGGTTTGCGTGCAGCCAGCAGTAACAGCCAGGTTGATCAGGCTCTGATCCACCAGGAGGCCTGGTCACAGACCGGGCCGTGGGGGCGTTGACCCCCGGAACTCTCTCCAGGTAAACTCTAGGTAAACTCCCCATGAATTCAATTTTTTTTTTTGTGAAGTGCTAAACCTGTGTCAGTCAGTGTTGTGACCCCTGAATGGGTCACAATGTATATAATGTATATTACCTTTTCATATGATTTTATATTGTTTATATTTGCGATAATAGCTAAATCGTAAATATATTGTTTTGTATTATTTGACTTAGTTACTTTTGTTAGGTAGGATGTAACATTTATATATATTATTCAGTGTTCATAGTTCAAGTCTTGATTGTCTAACTACTGTAATTATCGCTCGTTGCTCGTTTCCCTGCCGGCTTCTCGGTGTTGCTGGGCAGCAACAGTCCACGGAGCTATCACATGATCGAGGGGGGGTGTTCACACCTCGCCTGGAGTAGTCAGTCTGGGCTAGACTCTCTTGGTGGTTGGACGTATTCCTGACAAGACGTGCCTAACTTTCCATTATTGGCCCTTGTTGGAAGATCGTCTCTGTCGCTTTCTTGTTGTTGGTTCTGTAGAACTCTGTTCACAGAACATTGTCTAGACTTAGTGATTTTCGGTGTTGCACCGAGGTTGTGTGTCGCATAGACACTCTGAGCAACTCAGATCCTGAGCTGTAGCTTCTGACCTAACTTGTACTTGTAGACAGCCTGTACTGTCTGCACAGACAGCCCATGCTGTCTGTCAGCTTAGTTCATATTTCACGGCACTAAGGTGCTGCCCTCTGTAGCTAGGCCTCTCGGTGGGCACGGCAGCCTGCCTGCCCTTGCCTCGCTCTCACTCACACAGCAGCCTAGCAGGAAGACACAAGGCCTACTCCTAGCTCTCTCTCGTGGGATGGCCCTCCCGGGCCATGGGCACAACACACAAGCCTGTGTACCCACCACGACTTAACAATAAAGTAAGAAGCCTCCGAAGACGTATCATTTACTCCCCGCTACCAGAACACCAAATAATCCTTTTATAAATGGTGGGAAGCGGTGGTCGCAGCAGTTGTGTTTGCCCTGAGAGGAAGGAAGAGGGATGAAGTCATCTTCACTTCATCATCCCATGCAAGAAGCATCCATCTCTCAACGAGTTATCCTGATGTCGTGTCTGCACGTTTGAGCATCCAGACACAGGTACAAGCAGGATCCAGCCGAAATTTGCCGAATTTCTCCAAGAATTGTAAGTGGTGTCCCAGTGACCCCATGCTACAGCATCCCATGCTGTTTCTCAAGTCACGTGCTCAGCGTCACTTGTATGTTGCTGTTGTTGTTCAGCTCAGCACAGCTGTTTCAGCAAGCCAGAGGTGAGTTTCGTGGTGATTTCTGCATCCGGTGTGAGCTTCTCCACGTGTTTGTGGGTGGAGGAGGAGGAGGAAGTGGCCGTTCCTCACCTTGCCCATGCTCGCCCTACTCACGCTCACCCGTCTACCATACACTCACTGCTGCCCACTCCCTCTGCTGTGTTTTCTGCTGTTTTCCATGTGAATTCATTGCCAGAACTGTGTATCCGAGTGCCCGAGGCCACTCGAAGCTACGTGGATCAGCATGCCACGTAGATCACGACGCCACGTGGGTGTGGGCGATGTCACGTGGATCTACAAACCATGTGAGTTACCAGATGTCCCAGGCCACATGCTGTGGTCTGCTGCCCGCATCACATTAACGTCACCGACGATGCTGCCCGACTTCATGACGTCACGATGTCTGCTGACGTCACCTCATGATGTCTGCCTAACGCCACCTTGAGATGTCTGCTGATGTCACCTCGCGACATCACATGATGTCACCATTGAGTGTTCAGTAATTATTAAAATATTGTCGAGAAGACTAAGAGAAGATATATGTCGTGTGTTAATTCCTCTCAGTCAGTGTTCTCACATGTTAGTGTACCATATGTACCGCGGTGTGTTTAAAGTTTCCGTGTGTCCAGTGAGGTCTGAGCCAGACCTGAGTAGCACCACTGTGCTAAGTCACCTGTGTGACCAGTGTGTTTGACAGCTGTTATCAGACAGCCCTGAGCGTACGAGCCCCCTTGTACAGAAAGCTTTTATGCTCGTCGCTCGTGATGTTCTGCAGAATCGTACCTGCTACGATTCCCATTGAGATTTGTTTCACTTCACCTCCAGA